TCAGTATTCTTTTCCAGATCGCCGCTCACATGGATGCGGACAGCATTGTTGCGGAGGCCCACAGCATCGCTGTCGACCACACCGCCGCGCCAGGCGGGCAGCAGTCTGGTTTTCAGAACGTAGAGCAGGCAAACTGTCCAGACGCATCCGCCGACCGCCGCGATACCGACACTGATCATCGTGCCGCGAGCCACGAGATCCGCCTCGACATCCATCCTTGTGGACGCATCGGGCTGCGCGTGGCCGCGTGGCAGCACGCTGGCGCTCCGAGTGGCGCCCGATGATGCCGCCTGCGAAACGACAGGCCTTTCGAGCTCCGCCGCCTCTGCCGCCGTGGGGTCGGTCCTCGCAGCGCCGTGGTCCACGGCCCTCGCGACTGGAGAAGCAGGCGCCAGGGGGGTAATCCCCATCACCTCGTCGATCCAGCCACGCACGTAGCTCACCCGGGACCAGACTCCGGGGTACTGCTCCGAGGCGCAACTGTAGCCCCACGAGGCAGCACCGTGCAGGGCATGAGCATCGCCGCCAGAAGCGCAGACGAGCGGCCCGCCACTGTCCCCTTGGCAGGCGCCAGTGGCTTGCCCGGCGCCGTTGACGCCCTGCGCGCACAGCATGTCATCGGTGATCATCCCGCTGCCGTAGGCAGCGCCGCAAACTGAGTTACTCACGATGTTCACCTGTGCCTCCTGCAGCAGGTCAGGAGTGGAACCTGCGACGGAAGCGGTGCCCCAGCCGGTGATGAAGCACTCCTCACCGTCGTAAGCGTCCCGATCTGGCAAACATGCGACCCCGATGCAGTCGTTCAAGGGCGCAGCATCGATCAACTCCACAAGGGCGAAATCGTATGACATCCTAGGAGAGCTGAAAGATGCCTGGTAAGACGGATGCACGTGAACCTGGTGCACCTGAAGTACCACCTGGGTCGAATCTGCTGTGGACTGGCTGTGACTGCCAGCCGCGATGGAGAACGAGCCTCCCACGCAATGGGCGGCTGTCAGGGCCCACCTCGGGGCGATGAGCGCTCCTCCGCAGAAATGCCCAAACCCAGACGAGAGGGACACCTGCCACTTCCACTCGCACGGCGTTGCGCCCTGTCCCCCAACGATGCGCCCCTGTGCTGACCAGGGCGTGTCGTCGGGACCCTTCGCACCGCAAACAAGCGTTGGTGCTGGCGTCGGGGCTGGAGTCACGCCCATCACCTCGTCGATCCAGCCACGCACGTAGTTTACCCGGGACCAGACTCCGGGGTACTGCTCCGATGCGCAGCCGTAGCCCCACGAGGCAGCACCATGCAGGGCATAAGCATCGCCGCCAGAAGCGCAGACGAGCGGCCCGCCACTGTCCCCTTGGCAGGCGCCAGTGGCTTGCCCGGCGCCGTTGACGCCCTGCGCGCACAGCATGTCATCGGTGATCATCCCGCTGCCGTAGGCAGCGCCGCAAACTGAGTTACTCACGATGTTCACCTGTGCCTCCTGCAGCAGGTCAGGAGTGGAACCTGCGACGGAAGCGGTGCCCCAGCCGGTGATGAAGCACTCCTCACCGTCGTAAGCGTCCCGATCTGGCAAACATGCGACCCCGATGCAGTCGTTCAAGGGCGCAGCATCGATCAACTCCACAAGGGCGAAATCGTATGACATCCTAGGAGAGCTGAAAGATGCCTGGTAAGACGGATGCACGTGAACCTGGTGCACCTGAAGTACCACCTGGGTCGAGTCTGCTGTGGACTGGCTGTGACTGCCAGCCGCGATGGAGAACGAGCCTCCCACGCAATGGGCGGCTGTCAGGGCCCACCTCGGGGCGATGAGCGCTCCTCCGCAGAAGTGCCCAAACCCAGACGAGAGGGACACCTGCCACTTCCACTCGCACGGCGTTGCGCCCTGTCCCCCAACGATGCGCCCCTGTGCTGACCAGGGCGTGTCGTCGGGACCCTTCGCACCGCAAACAAGCGTTGGTGCTGGCGTCGGGGCTGGAGTCACGCCCATCACCTCGTCGATCCAGCCACGCACGTAGTTTACCCGGGACCAGACTCCGGGGTACTGCTCCATTGCGCACCCAGCGCCCCATGAAGCTGCTCCGTGCAAAACATAAGCAGCGTCCCCACCAGAAGCGCAAACGAGCGGCCCGCCACTGTCCCCTTGGCAGGCGTCGGTGACTTCCCCGGCACTGTTGACGCCCTGAGCGCACAACATGGCGTCGGTGATCATCCCACTGCCGTAGGCAGCGCCGCAGTCCGAGTTACTCACGATGTTCACCTGCGCCTCTTGCATCAGGTCAGGAGTAGAACCTCCAAAAGAAAGGGTACCCCATCCGGTAATGAAGCACTCCTCGCCGCCAGCGACGTCCTCACTTGGCAGGCATGCGACCCCAATGCAGTCGTTCAAGGGCGCGGCATCAACCAACTCCACTAAGGCAAAATCGTGAGAATATGTCGAATCGCTGAAGTCTGGATGCGAATGCACCTGGCGCACCTGCAGTGACACTTGTGTCGAATCTGTTGTGAACTGGCTGTGGCTGCCCGCTACGATGGAGAAGTCCGCTGGCCCCCTGAAGCCAAAAGGCTGCGAGGCGGAGCAGTTCCAGCTCGAAGCTTCCCAACATCAAATTCTCGGATTCCGAAGTTGTAGTGATTGGGATCACCGCGAAGACCACAGCCCGAAAACCGCACCGCTACCATGTCGGAATCACGTCCCATTAGTTGAAGGGGACGTTTCACGAGCCGCGAATTGCAACATATTCGAGCCCCCGAGGCCACGCCCCCTGGAAATTTACGACGGGCTCGCGCTCCCATGGCCACAACCCCTTGCAACGTACAACGCGCTGGCGTCCCTGATATATATATATATATATATATAGGTATATGTATATATACGTATGTATATAGACATACATCTATATGCACATAAACATCTATACATGTATGTATGCTTGTATGTATGCATGCATGTATGTATGTATGTATGTGTGGGTGTATGTATGCATGCATGCATGCATGCATGCATGCATGCATGCATGTATGCATGTATGCATGTATGTATGTATGTATGTATGTATGTATGTATGTATGTATGTATGTATATATACATGTATGTATACATGTATGTATGTGTGTGCATGTATGTATGTATGTATGTATGTATGTATGTATGTATGTATGTATGTATGTATGTATGTATGTATGTATGTATGTATGTATGTATGTATGTATGTATGTATGTGTATGTGTATGTGTATATGTATACATATATATATATATATATATATGTATCGATTCCTCATCCTATATCTTATAAGCCCGGGCGCGGGGAGAATCCGTCACCCCCCAAAAAACTGGACTCCCGGGATCTGGGGCTTTGGGACACTCCGGACGGGCCTCGAAGCGGCCACCGGGCCTCGCAAGGCGTTATGCCAAGCCTTCCCAGCACACCTAGGGCGATCAGGGGGGTCATCGGAGACGTCCCAGAGACCCCCAAGACAGCACAAGAGCGCTCCAAGAGTGACCGACGTGACCTCAAAATGGCCCAAGAGGCCTCTTGGACGGTCCCAAAGAGGCCTCCAAGAGCACTCCCAAGAAAGCCCCACGAGGCACAAATCATTGATTTTCCGCTGTTTCTGGTAAATTTTGGGGTTTTCCTCTTTTCGGCTTCCCGACGCTCCAAGACGGCGGTCTTCTGGGCGTCCGAAGCCGCCTGGGAGGCTCCAAAATCGCCCCACAACCATCCGAAAGGGCTTCCAGACAGTTCAAGAGAGCCCCAAAACGGCACAACACGGGTCCAATATGACCCTCAGAGAGCCCCATGGCGGCCCAAAATGGCTCAAAGACGCCCTCCGAAGAATTCCAAATCGTGATTCGGTCGTTCAGGGAGACTGCGGTTGGAGGCAGGGTGGCCCGAAGGAAGCGCCCGGAGGCCCCCACGATACGCCCAGGAGGCTTCCAAAAGGCTTTAAGAAAGCCTGAAACAACTTTTGTGAGGCCCCTAGAAGCTCTCCAAGAAGGAGCCTCCAGAAAAAAGAGTTGAGGAGGATGACGCAGAGCATGGCGAAAATAAAGAAAATAAGCATGGAGGAAAGATAACGAATAACATTATTGTAGCGGCGATGACGGGAAAAATGCAACCAGGAATTATCGCTAAATTGTCGGCTTGGCCTACCTGCTATTCCGCCGGCATGCCAAACTTCAAAGACCAAGGTGCATGGCGCGAAGTGCCATGGCAGTCTTGTGTGTATATATAGGTGTGTGCCTATACATATTAAAACAGCGCGATGGTGGACCAAAGGGGGGGCGTTGATGCCTCCTTTACGGGCGGCGAACACGGGGGCCCTATCACGCAGGGGCCCGAGCCACGCCCAGGAACCTGATGCCCCAGGGTGGTGGGTGGGTTGTTCAAAATCGACCGAGCACCTGAGCCCACATGGCCACTGGCATCGGGCAGAGCGAGAGGATGCACATTCGTGTTGTCACTCGGGGGCGTATCCTCGAATGGTCCTGTAAGCGGTGCGATGGTGGTAAAAAGGAGGGGGGCGTCGATGCCTCTCTTACGGGTGGCGGAGACGGGGGCACTGTTGCGCGGGGGCCCGAACCACTCCCAGGAACTTGATGCCCCCCTCTAAAGCCATGCGAATGAATCACCAGGGAGGAGAGGGCGGAGGCCTGGAGGCGCGGGGGGATCCGCCCCTGGGCCCCCCCACCATGCGCCGCGAGTCGACGTCCACTGGCCGCGCCTCGCCCTCCGCGCCCCGCCGCGCCGGCATCGCCCCCCCCCCCCACACCCCACCCCGCCCCACCTACCCGCCGCGCCGCGCCGTGCAAAGGGGGGCAGGGGATGGCCTTTCCCCAGCCCTTGGGGCCCCCAGCACGAGGCCCGACTCCCGCCCCAACCAAAGGGGCCCTCGCCCACCGAGGTGGCCGCAGGGTTCCCAGGGAGGGAACGCTGGGCAGGGGAGCGCCCCCCCCCCCCCTGGCGCGGGGAGGTTTGGGCCCTCTACAGTCGCCTCGAGCTGGGCCTCCGCCCTGAAAAATCGCGCGGGGGCCCGCGAGCCGCCGCCGCCTCCAGCTCCGCGGGCGCAGCGTCGACATTGACGTGCTGGGTGATGCTGTCACCGCGGCGCCAAGCGCGTGCGCCCGCGGCCCCTTTGGCCGCGCCCCGCCGCGCGCGCCCCGCCCTTGGCTGCCGCCCCCCCCTTGGCGATCGACTCGCAGAGCTCGCGGGGGACCCGCGCCATCTCGTCGAGCACGTGCCGCTTCAGGTCCGCGGCCGCCGCGTGGATCCTCGCGGGGCTCGCCGGAACCCGACGTCTTCGCGCTGCTGAGATCGCCCGCTTCCCGGCTCCTCGCCCGGTAGCGAATCTGAGCTCCGCGCCGTCTTGCGCGACCTCTGCGCCTCCGGAAGCTCGACGAGGAAGATCGTCGAAGGCCGCTTTGCCGACGTGGCCCTGTTCGCCGCCCAGGCGCCCCCCAGATTGTCCGTCGACCCCGTCTCGCCCTCTGGCGGCGCCCCCAGGGCTTCGCGCGCAGCTTGGGATCGCTCTGAGGAGTTCGAGCGCCGCAGTGCCTCGGTTCGGGTCGCTCGCCTAGGCCCGCGCCCGTGGGGGGGCGATTCCCTCTGCCTCGAGCGCGCGCCAGCGAGCCCTTCGCGCAGCTCCGTTCGGCGGCGCCTCCCAGCCGCCCGCCCGGCGGCGCGCCACTCCGCATTGGCGTCCGATTGGAAGTGCCTGGCGCTCTCGTTTCTGAACTTGATGGGCGGCTCCCGTCTCTTCGCCAGTCGTCAGCCGATCCACATCAGCATGGGCCTGTTCGCCCACGGTAGGGGGGCCCTCTTCTCGCCTTCCTTGCGACGCCGGCAAGCCAGGCGCGCGCCTGCCCCAGTGGCGGATTCTCCCATGCCGGGGCCATCGACGCAAAGCCCAGGCGACCCGAGCCCGACGCCAGCGCGCCGACGTGGACGTCGCCGCGCTCCACTGCTTCCTTGCACCAGGCTGCCACCCTGGCCGCCCTCGCCTCAGAGAGGCATGCGGATTCGTGAATGTAATCGCAGTGGCTACCTCGAGGCAACCGCGCGTCTTGATCCTCTGCGCCGGGATGCCGAAGACGTCGAATAAGACGACCATGGAATGCGTTGCCAGTCGCCCTCGTTCCCCCGCGCCGACTGCCTCCAGGTCGTCGACATAAGTGCGTTGATATACTGGTTATTCGCCTCCCAACAAGCAGAATAACGATATCGCCTGTCGCGCGGCGCCGAATATCCTGGTCCATCATTCTGACGCGCTGGATATGCCGAAAGTGCCCACGGTGTTGCAGCGCACCTCGCCCTCGAACTCGCAGGCCATGCCCCGCTCGTCCACGCGCGCCCGTGCGCTCCTTCGACATCGGCGACGAACAAGAAGATGACCTCGTGCCGGTCCTCGTAGTAACTCAGGAGGTCGTTCTTCTCCGCGGACCTCGACATCCCCTGCTGGCCCCTGCGTCGAATCCAATGGTCCACGGCGACCTCGCGCGCGCCGTCGTAAACGAGAGTCTTCTTCGAGAGTCTTCTTGCCGCTCGCGCTCTCTGGCGCTGCCAGCAGCGCGAACTCGAAGTTCTCGTGGCAGCGGTTGCGCAGCTGCTCCATGGATACCTAGATCATCCTGTCCGATTTTGCCTCGTCCGCGAAGCGTTATCTGAGGCAGTCGCTGCTGTCTTCCGCGATGTTGTGGTCGGCCGCATCTGGGGCGACCCAGTCGGCGATGTTTTGGTCGAGGCGCCACTTCGCGAGTTCCTCGCAGTGTTCCTCCTGCCAGGGCACCTCGCGCAGCATGCCCGCTGTGACCCCCGTCTTCAGCCCCCTCATCCACTCCGCGTCTTGGGCCCCCGCTTCGCGCAACAGTTTCGCTTGAAAACGGACGCGGACGGGCTGCCCTTCGGCGATGCATCCCAGGTCGTCGCCGTGGCCCGCCAGCCCCTTTGCCCCTGGCCAGCTTTTAGGGATCCTCCTGGCCGCCTTGCAGGCCTCCTTCCCTGCGAGATCGGAGGGCTCGGGCTCGCTCGGGCCGGCACCGGCCAGCTGTTTCGCGCCGCCAGCTCGAGCTGGGCGCGTTCTGCGGCATCCCATCCGCCGATGGCTGTCGCCATCCCTCCAAAGGGGTCGGTCCTCAGATCGCCCCCAGCTCGGGAACTTCTAAGAAGGTCTGGGCTCCAGCGGCCAGGCGTGGGAGGGCCCGCGCCGTCGTGGAATCTTCCCGGACCTTCGATGCACTCGCGGCAGCGAGGCGGGCCTGTGCCTCGAAATTAGCGCAGGGGCCGCGTGGTCGTCCGCCTCTTGTCCCGCCGCCATGCTGCGATGATGGCGCCCGCGTGGCAATTGGAATTTATGTCGCAGCGGCGCCAGGGTGTCGCGCCGTCGAGCTCCGAGAGCGCCTCGAGCACATCGGGTCTCGTCGGGGGCCACTCCACGAAGAGCGAGATGGCGGCCTTCGAGCCGCGGCGCTTGACGGGGAAGGCGTTCTCCAATTTGCTCGCCGTTGCCCCGCCCAGTGCGCGTGCCCACTTTGCTGAGTGGGCT